GGGGGGGGGGCCTGGGCGGGGCTCGGGGCCGAGTAGGCCGAGTGCATGGCGCCCGGGGGCTTGTTGCCGACGGCGACGGAGGGCGCCGTTTTGGGGAGGGGCCTCTGCGATTGGTCGGGGCCCTGCCGGCTGTCGTACATCCCGACGAGGATCTTGAGGCGGTTGCCGGGGACGATGCCCTGGCGACCGTGCAGAGAGCAGAGCCACCAGCCGTCCAGGCCCTGCGTGTCCCGCTCCAGAACCGTCATGATGTCGCCCTTACGGAAGGACAGCTCGTCCGGGGACTCCGCCACGTTGTCGTACAACGCTTTGGCCAGGATGTTCTGCAGGAAAAACAGGAAACAGACACGTGAGACGGATTCAGATTAAAATGATAATATATATATATATATATATGCACACGATTCTAGACTGGTCAGATTAAATAAACCCTGACTGCAAGGGAAATAATCCCGTTATTTGAATCTTCCAGGTAACAAGTTAGCATAAAAAATATATTTTTAATAAACCCTGACTACAAGGGAAGTAATCAGTTTTTTTAATCTTCCAGATAAATTAGCATAAAATATATTTTCAAAAATAATGCAAACAAAATTGAATAGTCAACAAATGTTACACGTTTATAAAAACACAGATTTAAATTACCTTTAAAAATGTAAATAAATACAAATTATATATATATATGCATACAATTTTAGACTGGTCAGATGAACTATACCCTGACTATAAGGGAGATAATCTGTTTTTTAAATATTCCAGATAGACAAGTTAATAAACAATATATTTTCAAAACGAATGCACACAAAACTGAACAGTCAACAACTTTTACAAGTTTATAGAAACACAGATTTGAATTTCCTTTAACAGGTAAATAAATCAAAATAATATATATATATATATATATATATACACAATTTTAGACTTGATGAAATAAACCTTGACTACAAGGGCGATAATCTGTTATTTGGATCTTCCAGATAGACAAGTTCGCATAAAAATATATTTTCTAAAACAAAATTGAACAGTCAACAAAGTTAAGTTTATAGAAACACAGATTTTAATTTCCTAATAAATGAAAATAATAAATATATATATATATATATATATATATATATATATATATATATATATATATATATATATATATATATATGCACACAATTTTAGACTGGTCAGATTAAATAAACCTTGACTACAAGGGAGATAATCTGTTATTTGGATCTTCTGGATAACAAGTTGGCATAAAAAATATATCTTCAAAAACAAAATTGAACAGTCACGTTAGTTAGTCAACTTAAACGTTACAAGTTTATAGAAACAAAGATTTTAATTTCCTAATAAATCAAAATAATATATATATATATATATATATATATTAGGGTTGTCACGATACTAAAATTTTCAACTCGATACCGATACTCAGGAAAATACTCGATACTCGATACCATTTTCGATACCACAAGGATAAAAACAAACACCCCAAAATTTAACTGAATTTTGACAGTTTAGTGTCTTTCATTTCAAACTGACCTGTTACTGATGTTATCGTGGCTGGTGGCCCGAATTAATTACCCTAATCCTGACCCTAACCCTAATCCTAACCCTGACCCTAACCCTCCAGCCTTCATA